TCGTGGAGAGAACATCAGTGCTGACGAGTTTGTTCCAGCGCTGCAGGGGCCCTGGCAGGAGCCGATCCTAACGGGGCCTCCTGCACAAAGTGCCTCGGGTTCTGGAAAAGCGTCGTGACATGGGCTTTCTCCCCCATCTCCCAGGTGAGCAGTCGAGGAGAGGCCCACCTGGAGCTGAATGCCTTTCGCAGGAAGCAGGACTGTGCACTGGTCCTCTCGGGGGACTCCCTGGAGGTGAGGCCATTACGCCCTCAGGCTGCTTCTGCAAGTCTCTGCTGCTGTTTAAGTTGTTGCTGTCTCGGCAGAGCTAGGTGCAGCCCTGCTGTGCGGGGACCGCCTGAGGGATGTCGTGCAGTGTCACGGTGTCACTTACTGGCCCCACACGTTAGAGAGGCCGCTGGGCTGCCCTGGCGTTGCTCCGGCTGCGCGTGGCGGTCCAGGCCGCCAGGGCTGCGGTCGGCGTGACGCGGCCCACGTTGCAGGTCTGTCTGCGGTACTACGAGCACGAGCTCATGGAGCTGGCTTGCCAGTGCCCCGCCGTGGTGTGCTGCCGCTGCTCGCCCACGCAGAAGGCCCGCATCGTGAAGCTGCTGCAGACGCACACGCACAAGCGCACCTGCGCCATCGGTGAGGCCGCGCCCCGTGGTCCCGGTCCGACCGGGACAGCAGGCTGACCTCAGCCGCGTCCGGGACGGTCCGCCCCCGCTCCTCCGTTAGGAGAGAGACGGGACCGGGCCGGCTCTTCCCATCGCAGTGTCTGTCCACCCCAGGTGACGGAGGCAACGACGTGAGCATGATCCAGGCCGCCGACTGCGGGATCGGCATCGAAGGGAAGGTGCGTGTGTCCTCCGCCACGCTCGTCAGCGCACGCCTACGCGCCTGCTCTGGGCCCGCCAGGGCACGGGCGGAGGGGCAAGGCTGGCCAGGCCCTCTGCCAGCACCTTGACCAAGTGAGGGACGGCAAAGCAGGTCCGCGCCGAGCCCTCCGGGGCCCTCGCTGTCCTCCGCGGGACCTGCGGGCCCTCCCCATAGACAGACATCGCCACACCCTGCAGTGGCAGCTTCTCTCCCTCACTGGGCACCCGGGCCATATTTGCCGTCTGTGTCCCTGTCCAGCGGTGAGCTGTGGGCTGAGGTCTGTCCTCTGTGCTCACCCAAAACCTCGCCCAGGAAGACCTGGGACAGAACCTGCTCCCGGTCTTGGTTCTCCCCTGGCTGCTGTGCTCCTGGCGCCTGGCGCCGGCTCTGGCCGCGTCCGCGCTTCCCTCCCCGGGGCCTCGGCGGCTGTGGGGTGGCAGGTGGGTGGGCGCGTGGCCCGCGTGGCCCGCGT